CCGGACGACACGCGACTGCGTGTGGTAGAGAACCTGGCAGAGGTCAGAACGACAAAGAGCAAAAAAAAACGCGTATAATACCTCGGCCCCAATCGCAATGAATGCAAAGAGCACGGTCGTCGTCGACAAGGGCGCCATCCATCTGCGGCCGCTTAACCGCACGACCACAACGAGCCGAAGCAGGAGCAGTCAAGAACGGGGAGGACAAGCCCTCGAATTTAACGGCAAGTACCGTTCGCTCTTATAAGGGGTATCCGGCAATCACCGAGTTGTACGTAACTTAATTGAGTCACGTCGCTGAGACGCGTCTTGTCTCTCGATATTCTCTTCGCCGTAGAGTTCATGGGACCGGCCCGCGATGGGTGTCAAGTCGCTGTGGAAGCTCCTAACGCCAGTTGGCAGACCCGTAATGTCGGGGTTCTCTAGCCGCTCTTACTCTCCGTGACTGAGATGTTGGATTAGGCTCGAGACCATGGAGGGCCAGATTATGGCCATTGACTCGAGCATATGGATCTACCAATTCCAGGCTACCATGCGCGACAACGATGGGAAAGCACTCTCGAATGCGCACGTCCTGGGCTTCTTGCGGCGAATAGCTAAATTGTTGTTCTACGGGATCAAACCTGTCTTTGTTTTCGACGGAGGCGCTCCCGCTTTGAAGAGAAACACCCTCGTAGGTTTCATTTCCTTATTCTCTGGAATTTAGGTTGATTTTTCGTCCCCAGAACGAGCGCAAACGCAAAAAGACTGGAGCGGCTTTGAGTCATGTCAAACTCGCCGAAAAGCTCCTTGCTGCTCAGCTGAGGCGCGCGGCCGTAGATCAGGCCAAAGGTCCACAGTATGTATTGCAATCTTCCTCTAGCATACAGGGCCTGACATTTCGAGCAGGAAACCCACCAAGGGCAAGGGCAAAGCACCGACCGGCCCTGTTGTACTTGACGATAATACCGTATATCTCGAAGACATTGACTCCTCAATGCCCAAGGCATCTCCACGCAAACAGACCGAAACCCCGTCGGGATCCCCTAGCAAGCCCAAATTCCACGACCATGACCCATACCGCCTTCCAGACGTCGACCTTGAGGCCGCCGTTGCAAAGGCAACTCGTGCTCCAGTCCCTGATCCGCGCTTAGCCACTGAGGAGGAACTGCGCGACTTCATAGAAGACATGCGTCCCGAAGACTTCGATGTCACCTCGGCTGCCTTTCGTGAGCTTCCGACTGAAGTCCAGTACGAGATAGTCGGTGACCTGCGGCTCAAATCGCGGCAAACGTCGTACGCACGGCTGCAAAACATGCTCAAAAGCGCTCCTACGCCGCTCGACTTTTCGAAGCAGCAGATTCTGAATCTGAAGCAGCGAAACACTCTGACGCAGCAACTCCTCATGACCACCGACAGCATTGGGAAAGCCAACCTTGCGATTCCTGTCCGCGTTGCCAGTGAGCGCAACAGACAGTACGTCTTGATAAAAAATGAGGGCAAGGATGGTGGGTGGATCCTTGGTGTTAGAGACGACGGCGGGTCGCGAGAAAGGCCGATTGAAATTGACCAAGACGAGAAGAAAGAGGTGCCGGAGGACGACAGCGATGAAGATATGGAAGAGGTTCCCATGTTCGTGGGTTCTTTTATTCGGTACTGCAGCGCTGATTCTGAGATACCTAGACCTTCCACTGGTATGCCAGATCCCGACTTGCAGGAGTTTCAGAGATCTATGAATCTTGCAGCCATCGCCAATCGCCATGCGAAACAACATCCACTGCCCAGAAAGCCTGCGGCGGCTCCAGTCTCGCAGCCGCTCTTTAATCCTGACAGCGACATGGCTCCGGTATTTGACGACGACGACGATGGGGAGCTCGCTCTGGCGATTCAGCAATCTATCGAACCAGACCACACTGCTCCTAGAATTGACGATGAAGATGACGGGGACCTCGCTCTTGCCATCCAGGAATCCATTGATCAAGCAAAGAAGGGCCCTGCCCCAGCGCGTCCGGCAACGCCCTGTGCAGCTCAACGCCGTTGCATCGTCCTCCAAGCACGTTGACACGACGCCCCACAGGCCGTCCGAGTCTGCCTCCCATTATTCCCACTATGCCGAGGATGCTTTCGTCATGGAAATCGGCTGGAGACGGCGTTGTCTATTGGGAACGCGGGCCCTGTGCGGACGCCGATGAAATCCAGCGTCACGCCTTCTAAGCCTTCAAGTTCCTTGTTTGGTGAGGCGATTTTGCTACAGGCTAAGACCCCGTCGCCTGCGAGAGTGCCGCCGTCACCTTCGCCTCTATCAAGGCCCATAGTCCAACCTGTAGAATCTAGGCTTCGATCCGATAGCAGTGGGAAGGAAATGGCCCCGGAACTGCGGGCAGACGCTCCATCCGTGTTTGGGAAACCCATCTCGTTACAGCCTCGGACCTCCACGCCTTCGCCCTCGCCCGCTCGAGTCCGCATCAAATCTCCTCATGTCTCGGATGAAGTGGACATGGAGGAAATATTACCTCCCATAGGAACCAGCACAGTCGCGTCAGCACAGCCTGAGTTGCCTGAGCTGGACGACGAAGCTACTGCGTTAACACCTCCACCATCTACACCCCCACGATCTCAATCTCCTGTGCTAGAGGTTGATGATAACACCCCATTACTTGCCAGCCAGCCTCTATCGGTGCTCAGGGACGACGATCCCTTCACAGTCGTACCCGACGAGGCTTCGTATAGCGACCTCATAGAAGTTTCCGTCCCCGGAACGCCTCCATTTTCAAGACCGGACGTGGAAGAGGATGACGAACCACTCAGTGGCTGGTCGAGGTCCCCCTCGCCAGTTATTGGGATAGATCAGCCCCAACCGCGAGCGCGTTCGCCTGTTCCAGAGAACTGGGACGCTGCGCAGGAGATGGATCCGGCCGCTGAAGAGAGTGAATTCGCGCAGTTCATGTCGCAAGTGAAAGGCAAAGATTTAGACGAGGTCCAGCAAGAGATCGACGACGAAATCAGAGTCTTGAACGCGCAGAAGAAGGCGGCCATGCGCGATTCGGAGGACATCAACCAGCAGATGATATCGCAAATCATGGTGGGTGTTTTCATCAACTTGAAGCGAAGACGATTTCCAAACAACTACGAGCAGATGATGCTGAGTTTATTCGGCATCCCGTATATCACTGCACCGATGGAGGCTGAGGCGCAATGCGCCGAGCTCGTCCATCTTGGTCTCGTGAACGGCGTAATCACCGACGACTCGGATGTCTTCCTCTTTGGCAGCCAGCGGGTCTTCAAAAACATGTTTAATCAGTCGAAGACGGTCGAGTGCTTTCTCCTCTCTGATCTGAGCCGCGAACTGGGTTTGGATCGGGATACGCTGATTAGACTTGCTTACCTGCTTGGTAGCGACTATGTTGACGGACTTCCCGGCGTCGGGCCAGTCGTCGCGATGGAACTGCTTGACGAGTTTCCCGGAGAGGATGGGCTGCACAAATTCAAGGACTGGTGGACGAAGGTGCAGTCTGGGAAGGACAAGCCCGAAGACAATAAATCTAAATTCAGGAAACGATTTGCGAGTGTTTCTCTAGTTTTCTTTAACGTTTTGTATTCACGAGATCATTGCAGAAAAAGAAGTTTAAAGATCTCTACCTTGCTCCGGAATGGCCCAATCCGACCGTAGTATGTGTTTATGTTCACCCGCACGGCGGTTGTTTGACATTGTGCAGCGAGACGCGTATTACCATCCTACCGTCGATTCGTCGGACGAGCCGTTTAAATGGGGATTACCTGACCTTGATGCTCTCCGAGAGTATGCGATATGTGTCCCTGTCATTTTCGCTGTCTCACTTTGTTGTAGGTTTCTATACGCCGAGCTGAGCTGGTCCCCGGTCAAAGTAGAAGAGTTTGTTACTGCCTGTCATTCAGAAATCCGCAAGCGTGGACAGGTAAGCTCAAATAACCATTGTTCTCCGCCATACGGCTCACGTCTCCGTAGAATGGCGCATTAAACAAGCAGGGCGACCTTAATGGGTACTTCGATATAACTGGCAGCGGCACTGTTGCTCCTCGCCAACGTCAAGCATACGGCGAGTAAGCGTCTACAGCAAGTCGTATCCGATTTCCGCAAGAAACGAAAGCATAGCTCCAAATCTCCCGCTACCGAGACCCCAGAGGAAGAACATTCTCAGTCAGAAGACGACGATGTTCCTCCCAAGAAGAAAGCGAAGGGCGGGGTGCAGCTTCCAACGTGGTACTGGTCGTTCCCGTGGGCGCGGTGCCAAAAAGAGCTCAACTCGCAAGAAGGCGGTGTCTGAGGACGAAGCGGAGTTTCAAGGAGACACAGTGGACGCCGAGTCGGGCCCGGCGCAGGCGGTGAAATTACGTCCTAGGCCGAAACCCGCTTACAGAGGGGCTGCAAGCGGATGCGGAATCTATTGAACAGTAGACGCTCTTCGTTCAATGCGGACGAAGCCTTATGGTGTACTATGTACTCGATAATTCAACTAATACCGGAAAGGGTGATTCAGGAGACATCCTACGATTGGCAGTGTACATTTTGTCCACTTGTAGCCACGTTTTTATTACGCTGGTTCTTCAAGCTTCAAGGCGCGGCGCTTGTGTGCTTTATAGCCCCACGGCGAAACACAGCGCAGACACAGCTGATTGGTATCACCACACTCACACAGCAGCATGGCGCAGCTGGGAAGCGCGCGGGGCCTTGCTTCCTGGGTGCGCGAAGCGGCAGGCACCAGGAGACGGAGCGGACGAGTGCCCCCGAGCCCTGGCGAGGGGTGGTATACATTGGGTGCGCGATAAATTTCCGCGGAGCGGCGCGTGAGTTTGGTACACAACAAATTTCCGCGCAGCGGGGTCGGGGACAGGTGGTCACTGCGTAGGGACTGGCGCACTGTACCCAAACTCTGATCTTGAGGCTCAGCCTTCCAAGCTTTGGAGCACCTCAAGGCGCGTGCTTTATAGCCCACGGCGAAATACAACGCAGACATAGCTGATTTATGTCTCTGTACTTATACAGCAGCATGGCGCAGCTGGAAGCGCGCGGGGGCCCATATCTTATTGTGAAACCCCGAGGTCACTCGATCGAAACGAGTTGCTGCTATTTTTCTTTTCTTTTCAGTTTTTCAGTTTTTCAGTTCTTTTGTTATCGTATCGATTATCTTTTTCGACATTTCGTCCAAGTCAAACATTTAATTGGCTGTCCTCACAAGACGCCTACAAGCTCTCAAGCAATTCAACTCATTACAATTGTCACCCCAAGAGACTTTTTTTTTAAAAAGGTAGCGACCGGAACACATTATAGAGGCCCTTCCTCTTCAATGCCTGCCCATATTGGCGTGACCAGCGATAAACTGACATCAATGGTACCTGCATCCCCTCCCGTGGCTATTTCTTCCGTGGGCAAAAGATAAACCAATCCATCCACCAATGAGCTCTGCGTGAATGGCGGCGAAGCCAAGACAGGCGCAACTTCGAACACCGAGCCCGCGTACATGTCAAACTTGTTCCACTGGCTAAGCATGAAGCTTCCGTTCCCGTATCGGAAGTGTTCGTCAATTTTTCGTGTGTCCGGCTGGGCTGCGATCCACTTGAGACTGCGGTCAATTTCGTCTTTTGAGCTCAGGAAGCTCGAACGCGTTAGGTCGTGCACGGCCTTGGCAATCTGCCAAAGCGGGCCGGTGGCGAGAAACGTCGGGTGGGATGGTGGTGTACGATGCGAAAAGGGCGTTTGGAAAATAGCGTGCGGGGAGCCCGAGGCGGCTGCGGAGATCGACGGGAGTGAGGAAGTCGGTAGGAGAGAGCGCTCCAAAGTTAGGATCTTTGGCACTTAAGCGCAGCCGGGCCTGATGGACGCGCTGGTAGATGTACGCAGACAGTGCGTCAAAGGTCGATATCCAGCCCGCGCCATTAGGGTCCGTCGCCTGCGCTTTGAGAGCAGCCAGCCGAGCGCTAGAGAAGCGGACAAAACGTCCTTCGACAGGTTAGGGAGGCGGCGGGTAGATGGTGACGGAGGAGGGGTCTATTACGGTTGTGCTCGCGGGCGGCTCTGCATGAAAGAGCGGTGGTTGAAAGTCGAGAGCCGCTTGCCGTTCTTCTGGCTCAATATTACCACCGACCAGCCCCGACATGTAGGGCCGGATATGGGGAGGGCGGAAGGGGACGGGATCGCGATTCTCGGAAGATTCGAGGCCGCGATACAACTCCGCCAGATCGCCGCGCCAACTGGAAGAATCCGAGCCCGTCTGAAACCGCATGGTGTACCCGCACGCCTAACGCAACGCTGCCGCATTCGAAACGCGTACGCTGAACAGCGAGAATGGGAGCACGACAAGCGCCTTCTGGGGTTGGGTCAAATGGCGCCAGTAGCGCGTTACCAGCAGCGGGTAGATCCTGCATCAAGATACGACGCGATGCGGGGGACGCGGGGTTGGGGGAAGAAAATGCAATCCAACCGCTCGCTGCAACGGGCCTCGACAAGTTCAGCGCCCGTCCCAGATGAATTATCTCGCGCGTTCCGTCGGTCGACTTGACGTGCAGGCGCCCGGTGAGTTGGGGATAATTGTCGAGAAGCAGCTCCAAAGCGCGTCGAAGGCGCTCGACTGGGATTAGCTCGATGTTGGAGCTCGGTTGCGCGTAAACCCAGACAACCTGGATCGGTACGAAGCCTGCGACTTGATCGAAAGAGCCGAGGCGAAATGGTGAATCGAGTGCTTTCCATGACGACTCTTCGGCAGAGAGCACTGTGTGCCGCGAAATAACGCTGACAGAGGCCGAGGATGTGTTGGCCATTGGTGTACTCTAGATGAAAGTTGCTGGCAAGTCAACACCTGCTTCAAGTCTTTTTGTAGGGGTCCTTAGAGTCAACAACGGCTCCGAGTCTTGTCGTGAGAAGTTGAAGTAGCCGTAGAGGGCGGAGGTTCAAGCCGACGTCTCCGTTGAGATAGTACATAGAAGACAAGCGGTGGTCCAATAACACACAACTCACAGGGACCGAAATTCCCGCTACCGTTTTAGAGAGCCCGATTTAGCAGTAAATCACAGTTTTGGTCGTTGGTTTTCATGTCAGCACTGATCTGTCGGACCCGCGGCGGACCGTTGAAACGTTGACGACTCCGATCAGCAACTTGCCCAATTTGTCTTGCTCTTCCCTCGTCTCGCTTTAACAGTCCGAGGAACAAGAGCCGTTAGCCGGAGAATTACACTCAAAAAACATTCAACTGTACTGTAGCGGGCCGTGCCGCTTGTCGCCCTTGCCAGCTTTATAGGGTGGCGGTTGAACCCGACGTCTCCGTTGAGATAGCAGGCTCTTCCTTCAAAAATGGTGAGCGCGTTTGCTTCTCGAGAGAGACAAAAGTGACAAGAGTGGGATTTGAACCCACGCCACATTACATGATGAGAAACCCCAGTATCAGCAGGGAAGCTGTTACGCTTGAGTCACACGCCTTAACCACTCGGCCATCTTGCCGCATGTCAGCTTCTCTACTTGTACCGTGAATATCTTAACAGCTTCAATTTTTCACTCATCGTTTTGCGAAAAAGTGTTGGAACAAAACGAGTACGAAAAAGGGAGGCGGTTCAAACTGCGTTTTACGAGCCCAAACTCCTGGACAAGTTAAAAACTACCATATTGGGAACCGTATCGGTTGTTTGCCGCTGTTGTATGCTTTCAGTCGCACAATCTTCGGTTCGACCGACTTGATCGCAGGATACACTCCATTCCACAGACTAAGATTGAAATTCGAGCAAGTAAAAGCACAGAGAGAGTGATATGTTATGTATGTATGATTCGTGCGAGTTTGGATGCATTAGGCAGTACATAGTAGCAGGATTGGATTAACAGAATAAACAGACCAAGATTTATGAAATGCCGCAAGGAAAAAGAAAAAAAGAATAACGTTAAATGAAAGTTGGTCGTTAGTCGTTACAACCCCGCTTCACGGGCTCAGCTCCTCGGGATAGGGCGTCGCACTTGCCCCCATCATCTGCCCATGGACGCGGAATCGGTAGAGGCACGTAAACGCGTCGTTGCCCCAGTTGTTCTTCACCACCAACGCCACCACGCCAAAGTCGATCCCCAGCGCCTTGATCTCGGGGTCGACGGGAACGTCTGGATGTGGTTCTCCGCGCGGATGTCGTACCGCATCGTCGCAATGCGGATGTATTCCACTGACCGCGGGGTGAGGAGCTTCGGCCGTACCGGCTCGTCCTCGAGCACCTCCCCGCTCTCCCGGCGCTGCGCCCTGTCCGCGCGCCACGTCTTGAGCTTGGCGACATTATCCGGGCCCTCGATGAGTCCCCACACCTCCATCTCGCGCGGCGCGCTCCCACGCGTGTACGGCGCCACCTCGCCCGCGACGTGGTCGATCGTGATGTCCTCGATGTACACCGGCGCGGAAAGCACGACCCCCAGCTGGCCTTGCGAACCCGCGAAAGGCCAGCAGTGCCCGTCGTGGACCTCGTGATGGATGGCAGTGACGGGGGGACGGGCGATGCCGTAGCCGTTGCCGGTGACGAGCCCGACGATCTTGCCGCGCATCGTAGACGGGCGCAGTTCGTACGTGGGGCTGGTGAGGGAGGGAATGACCATCCCGCCACTGGAAGAGAGCGCGTAATCCCGACGCGCGAGGTTGTCCTTGCCGTACAACCCAACGGCCCTGCCGACGAGGTCGGCGATGACGCCGGTGACATCCTGCCCGTCGGAGCTCTTGATGGTCATGCCAGACTTGCCCGACTTCCACCACGGCGAGCCTGCTGGCGAGGCTGGGCCCTTCTTGGTCGCCTCGAGCACCTCGCGCACGCCGCCCTCTAGCGATTTGAAGTGGCCCTCGAGCGCTTTGAGCTTCGCCCTTGCCTCTTCATCGGTCCCCGCCCCTCCGCCACCAGCACCTCCACCTTGGTGGATACCCTCCACCAGCGCCTGTAGCCCCACCAACTCCTGCTTCAAGCCCTTGATCCCCAGCCCCGCCGCATCCCGCACCGCCGCCTCCGCCTCATGCGTGCGCACGGTCTCCTTATCCACCTTTGTCTCCAACGCGCCCAGCTTCCCCACCACCTCCGCATGCACCCGCGCCTCCTCGTGCACCTTGGTCTTTATCCGGTCGAAGTCCAGCACCAGGCCTGACAGCGCCGTCTCCATGCGCTGCAGATGTTTGGTAATCTCCGCGACGTTCGCCGCAGGCGCGGGCGAGGGCGTATACATAGTGTTGCCGCCCCATGGGAGCCGCAGGCCTAAGTCCGGCACGGTGCGCAGGGCGAACAGCGCGACGCCCAGGATGACGGCGTATTTGAACAAGGGACCGACGGGGCTGCGCGCTGCGAGGCGTGCAGGCCGTATGAGCATGACGTCGATCATTGTGCCCAGCACCTTCCCGAAGAGCAGGAAAATGGCGTGGAAGAAGGTGCCGATATAGGCGCCGAGTAAAGAACGGCGGGAGCCGGTGGAGGACGGGCCCCGGGAACGCGAACGGGATCGCGCTTTTGGTGGAGCAGGGATGTCTTCGTCCTCGACTTCGGGTATTGAGTGCAGACCCTGTTCGGCTTCTTCGAAGGACGTATCGGGATTGAGTTGTTCTGGTTGTTGGGACCGTCGCGACGGGGGCGCGGAGTCTCTGGGTGCGGATTGCTGAAAGAAAATTAGTTAGCTATTGAACGGATCCCGAAACGTTGAGCTAACCTTGTCGGTGCCATGCGAGTCGCTATCCGAGCCTCCTTCTTCTACCTCGCCTGCATTGCCCTTGCTGGCTTTCTTCGCCTTCTTCCTCCTCTTATCATAGCCAGCGACTGGTAAAGAGGTCAACGGCCCGCCTGTGGGCTCTTTCTTCTTCTTCTTCCGCCGCTTTTCTTGCCATCGTCGTCAATGAAATCCTCATCGTCCGACTCGACATCCGACGTTGATGGCTTGTACGCCTTGTTGTCTGTGGACATGCGATTGCGCTTGTGATTCGCGGCAGCACGCTTGGCCTGGCTCTGGATATCCCGCTCCTCTGCGGAATAGTCGTAGCTGTTGTTGACTGCCACCGGCTCGTCTGGCTCGCGCGAGCGCTGACGAACATAGTAGGTGGCAGCGGCGGGTGCATTGATGATAGCGCGTTTAGCAGCACC